GGGTTACAGAAGGGCATTGTTGGAGGTGAACGGCGAGCGTGTCCTCGGGAGTAGGACGGGACTTCAGGGCGAGTCAAGGGACATGCTGATGGAAGTCCGAGGTTCGCAAACTCCTGCCTCACCACAGCTTGTATGTTAATACACTGACGGCTGTTGTTGGTCAGAGGCGAGCGTTGCGAAAACGGGTGGCTGAAGAGGAGCCGGACAGGCGGCTTCGATTTCCCGACGAACAATGCGTGTGACGTTGCCATACGTGGGGGACTGGCGGGCGGCTTCACACGATGAGGTCGCGGCCGTGTTGGGCAGCCGGGTGAATCGCTGAGTAATACGGCGGCTCTTGGCTTCTTCGAACAGCCGGCACTCTTTAATGATGGCGTGGACGGTGGCAGCGTTGTTATAAACTAGAAGATTAAATGCGTCGTCTGCTATGCCTTTCAGCACATGGGCCACTTTCTCCGACTCACTCATGTGCTCGTCAATCTGGCGGCAAAGGGCGATGACGTCGTGAATGTACGCGACGTAGGACTCCGTCAACGTCTGTGCACGAGCCGCCAGCTGATTCCGCGCTGCAATCTGCCGCTCAACGGTGTCGCCAAAAAGGTCACGAATCTTTTTTTTAAAGGAGTCCCAGCTCGTAATCTCCGCTTCGTGCGTCTCGAACCACACTCGCGGCGGGCCATCGAGGTAAAAAAGCACATTGGCAAGCATAAGAGTCGGGTCCCAACTATAGCTTGCGCTGACCCGTTCGTACCGGTTGATCCATTTGTCGACGTCAACGCCATTCTGACCGGAAAATACACTGGGATCACGAGCAGGAGGTAAAACGACGTATGTAAGAGTCATGGTAGGGGCAGGTGGCAAAGGCGATGGTTGTTCAACCTGTGACATTGTGACATGGTTGGACCTATGATAATGCGGCCATTGCGGAGCTTCGTGATGAAGACGGGGAAGTACCCAGCACGTCCACCACAAAGATGTTACGTAAAAATGACACGAGGCGTGTCTATTTGAAATCTATATTCAAACTGATGCGTATGGCGTCAACTAAGATGAAAGACAGCACGCACAACCGACAGACCACTTCCTCGTTGTCGTCTTCTGACCGCTGATACGTCAGCTACGTAGCAATATTATCATTGAGGAGGAGTGCCTCGCTGTAGTTTGGTCAGTACAGAATTTCTGTCCTTATCTGTATGACAACAGATTACAACGCATTATGCTGGCTTTCTGCATTGAAGAACCTGTTTAGGCACCTGGGCCAGTGGATTCTAAGCCTGCGAAAGTTAGACACTATTCACACTCTGGCGAAAAACATCAATCCGCCAACACTCTTTCCCGTTGCCCACTACCTACCGTACAAACCGGAATATAAGTCGAGATATTTTCAATAAAACAACGAGCTAAAGTCGCCCCTCGTCTTATATAGCCATGTCTAGCCGAGAGTGCACCGCTGTCTGGCAACATGTAGCTTGCATGTGCATGAGAAGCTGGACACGGCCATATTCGCATTCAAATCCAATAACAGGTTTTTTTTCTCTCTCTTGTCTGTTTTTTTGTGTTCGTGATTTGCCTCTGATCTGTTCTAAGTTCTCGCTCCGCTTGACATAGTGTTTAATTTTTAGTGGTCTTTTTCCCGTTCACTGAATATGAGTAGCGGTAGCAGAAGGCAGTATTCAGCTGTGTTTAACTAGAGGTTGTTGAGTTCGCAGAAGTTAATATGAATATGGCTGTTCAGAGCCACTTTGGTGTATCAGAAAAAAGCGTGCGCTATTGGAGGGTGCAGAAAGGGAAGCTGCAGATGTGCAATTCTTGGAAAATGTCATTTCGTGGGCGAAGTGCGGTTTATCCGCAGCTGGAGGATACGCTAGGGAACTTTGTGTGGGAAGTTCATGCGCGCTCGCTGCCAGTGACTGTAGATACCATTCGCAAGAAAGCCGTGGATCTCGCTCGAGAAGCGGGACTCACGAGAGAAGAGTTTCGTGCACCAAACTCTTGGGTGCGTCAATTCATGAGACGCAAAGGATTTTCTTTCCGGTGGCACAGATCCATCTGTCAGAAGTTTCCAAACGAGTTCGAGGACAATCTTATAAACTTTCGGGGCTTTGTGAACCGGATTCGGGAGCAGAACAACTACATGATGAGGCAGATTGACAATGCCGATGAGACCCCCGTGTGGTTTGACAGGCCTTCATCGACCATGATCATGCAGCCTGGTGCCAAGGATATGAAGCTGTTGTCCACTGGCAACGAGCACTCATGCTTTACTGTCATGCTGGCACTCATGCCAGATAGTAGAAAGCTTCCGCCCTTCATGATTTTTAAACGTAAGACAATTTTTAAACGTAAGACAATGCCGAAGCAGTGTTCCCGCCCAGTGTTGTCGTTCGCGTCAACAAAAAGGGATACATGGACGAGGCCATGATGCTCGAATGGATACGAGTAGTCTGGAACCGTCAGGCAGGTGCACTGCTGCGTCTTTGCAGCATGCTGGTGTTAGATGCGTTTTATAGTCACTTAACCGACACTGTGAAGCGTGCACTGGGCGATGAAAAAACGGACCTCGCCGTGATACCAGGTGGTATGACGTTCACCCTCCAACCGATCGGCGTTGTGCCAAAGAAGCCGTTCAAGGACCGAGTGCGGCTGGAGTACCAAAAGTGGATGTCCAAGAACAACCCAAAGACACCACCGGGCCGCCTACAGATGCCTCCGCTTGCGATTGTTTGTGGCTGGGTGCTTTCCGCCTCGCGTTCCTTGCCAGATTCCATGGTAGAAAATACTTTTAAGAAATGTTCCATCAGCAACTTGCTGTATGGCAGAAAAGACAACGCACTGTGGGAGCCGGCCAGCGACAAACTCTCGTCTTGAGGAGACAGTGGTGCTTCGTCTGACGAATAGGAACAGTTGCGATGGTAGTTGAGGGGAGCTCCTACGATCGGGGTGCAGTGCACCCAATTCACAAATAAATGTTGTTCAGCAATTTTGGGTTGTTTTTCTTTTTTTTCAGTAACCTGAATTTGGGGGGTCGAATTATATTCCCACTCAACCTATAGTCCGGTTTATACGGTACAGCACCGCTCGACACTACCACCACTGTGCCTGATAACACCAGTTTGGACGTCACTTCTAATTCAATAGCCTAGCTTGCCTTAATGGACTAGCTGCTCGTAGCCAACCAGCGACTATTCAGCTCTTGCCAGCTGGCTGACCCACAGTGTCAGCACATTACATACCAACTTTATGCGACTTCGCATCCACCCAAAGCACAAATTCATCATCCACTCAACAAATTTAAGCTGGAGGATGGTGTACTGTATCATCATATTTATCATCCCAACAGTCAACGCTGGGCACCTGTTTTACCATGATATCTTTAGACTTCATGAACTCAACGTCTTTCCCGAGTAAACTGCTGGCCACTTTGGCTCTCACAAAACTTACAACTGCAGCCGAAGATGCTTTGATTTGCTTGGCTTTTCTACCGTCGTAGCAAGGTACTTGAGCTCCTGCTGTCCATGCCAGCATCACAAAATTCGGACATCTGCTTCTGCCAGCCAATTACAGCCAATTGTGAGCCCCACAACAATAGGTCATTTTTTGACCTCATAGGTGACGTCGTAGGTGTTGACCTTTATGGGCCTTTTCCCATCACTGGAGCTGGAACTTGGTGAATAGTTACCACCATGAACCACCTAGCACACTACCCCGAGACAACTTCTGTGATTACTGGTTCTGCTTCGGAAGTTGCTGACTTTGTTCTTCAGGCCATAATTCTGCCAGATGGTGCTCCAAGCATCCTCCTAAGTGACCGTGGAAAGGCATCGTATCCCAACTGTGAAGTTCTGCACGCTTCTGGCAATACATGCAAGACAGAATCTAGCTACCACCCTCAAATGCTCTGACTGAGAGATTTCATCCAACCCTTGCTGACATGATCGCTGTCTACATTCAATTGGACCACAAAAACTGGGGTAAACTTTTACCATTCCTCACATTCGCCTACAACACCGCCGTTCAGCGCACAACTGGCTGCTGGCTGTTTTGTCTCGTTTACTGACGTTCACCTATTTTCTTTCTTGACAGTTTTTTTCTTCACTGACAATGGCACTTGATCCACATCTTACTGCAAAGAATATATTTCCTGCCTCGCCAAGTGTCCCCAGTGTGCTCGTGTGGACACTGAAGCCACGCAACAAGAATAGAAGCTCGTTTAAACCTCTCATCATGTTGTTTTTATTCTGATCGGATGACGAAGTGTTCCTCTTGACAATCATTCGCACACTTGGTCCAGACACCCTGCCTCATTTCAGAGCAGACTGTGCCTATCAACTATCGCATGATGCCACTTCTCGTGTCATCTGCCCGCAGTTTACCGCAGCACGGAAGTGCTGCGATAAGTGACGTTCCCCGCTAATTTGACGTTCAGCTTCCACGTGGGAGGAATCAGTCTAGACATCTATTATGCACTTTATCCTAGCTGTGCAGCAGTCAATTATCATGATCTGTGTGGCATCATAGTTTTTGGGTCGCGTTTCATCTGAGACACTTGTTCGCTCCCAAGTTCGCAACCAAATAAACGTTACAACCAAGCTGTCATAATATTTAAAAGCAATTTGAAAGCTCATGCGGTGAAAATGCTGTTGCAACACCCACCTCACAACGTTGACACCAACTTGCTTTTACTTTTCTCACGAGTTTGTGCTGGCAGCTATGCTGAGTACTCTCTCTTAGCAGACCTTTTCAACGGGAACTCTATGGACTAACAAAGCTCAAGTTCTTGCCCCGAAAGAGGTCACACACATTCACAACATCCAAGAAGAGATTGCAGCTGCAGCTGGGCAGCCTTTGTTCAAGAAAGTTGTAATCAGCACTGCTGAACCCCGCATCTGAGAAACCAAAACAGTGATTGCACACTACAAAAATACCTCCAAATAATAAAGTGCTGCCATGATAAGTTGGCTACTTATCACAAGTGAAGAAATGAGAATGAGTGTAGCAACCTTTGGTGCCTGGACGAACCACTCCTGGGAGGGCGACCAAGCCCACGGCTGGCTGAGAGGGCTTGGCCGCAGGCGTGTGCTGCAGGATGGTGGCTCTGCACAGGTGTACACACATGGTCATTGATATGTACCATTCTGAATGATATCTGTGAAAAACCTTCACATATTAATAATTGCGTCACATGTTGTAACTTGAAACTTTTTTATAGCAAAATTTTGATGTCTCAACAGGTGTGCCAGTATAAGAATTTTCAAATACCAATCAACACGATTCCTCCACCTCATTAACTTTCTTTATTTCCTACAACCGCAGGTGAAGTAACTGCAGGCATAGGTAAGCTCCAATTGACAAGTGCAGGAATTGATGAGATCCATTCTGCTAACATGAAATCTATTGTGCACCTAATATTGGTTATATTTGCATTTATTACTAATTTATCAGTGAAGTAAAGTGTGGGATTGGGCTAGTTGGTAATCCATTATTAAACTTCTCAGCCCAAAAAACAGGCAACGAACACAAGAGACGCGGACGAGGGCAGAATTTCAACTGATTTAATACTTCTAAGACGCACATATGGCTTCTGGTTTTTTGTGTTTCTTTGTTTTTTGCTTAAACATGTGATCTTATCTTCTTTTCTGTAACATATATATGTGCGTCTTAGAAGTAATAAATCAGTTGAAAATCTGCGCTTGTCCTCATCGCTTGAATTCGTTGACTGTATTTTTTGCACTGAGAAGCTCAATAATTATCAGTGAAGTTGAAATATATGACAAGCTAGGTACATTTCAACAGGTGCCTCCAGCATTGTGCATACAAGTGAAGAAAGTTTCTATTGTGCACTCTTTCGTGTGTATTATCAATTATTTGAGATAAAAATACAAAGACATTTTTTTTGTTTTTCAAAAGCGATGACGTCCCAATTAATTATGTGGCAAGTTGTTTTCTGCATGTTCTGCCATTACAGTAAATGCAGTATTCTTGGCACCACAGCCATCTTGATACACTCGGCTCTAAATTTCCCGTCTCCCCCACATAAACGTGATCACATCCTATACAAAGGATGCTGCATACACTTTTGGGAATACTTTACTTTTGGCAATTTTTCTTTCTATTTCACCACCTTGTGTGCTGGGACATGGGTGATTTGCATGTTCTTGCTGCTGGATGTTCGCGCCAAAGACTCGCTTAATCCGGGCACAAATGCCACGCACGCTTCTTTCTTTATGTGTGTCATGTGTTGCCAGCCCACAGTGCATGTTGATACAGCCTAGCCAAATCATGCCAGAGTGTCTGAGAGCATTCCATATTATCTTGGCACCATTTGTTAGGCTTCAGCACGCAAACATGTAAAACTAAGTTTAATTCTACAACAAATGCGGCCACCAGTGATAATGCTTGAATGTTCTGCGTCGCATGTACAAATACCAACTCAACTGGCCACGAATCAGATTATTGACGGCAGACGCTCTGTTCGCCGCTATCAGTGCTGGTGTGTATGGCTGTAGTCTAATTATCAGTTTTCAAGCCAGAAGGTTGCCCAAACAAAAGGTTTCTTTTTTGACATGCCGGCTGCTGCCTTCGTCAATTTCACGACCATGTGACATCTGGTGGAGGTGCTGGGTAGCACATTCACAGGTGTCATTCGCAAGAAACCTGCCGCTATTATCCTAGAGACATGTGCACAGCTTCCTAGTGAAGTATCACATCCCTGGAGCGCAGTTGTAGGATTACAAAGCTCGCGGAATAAGTCTGGTTACTGATGGTGATTCTTGCTGTGCAGACCTCAGCAGGCATTATTAGATGGCATCCTACAGTTCGAACAGCAAGGCCTTCCCATCTCTTAGCATTTTTCAATTTTGTGGCAAATGGCCCAGTGACGATGGAATAGTCGGCCCCAGTATCGACAAGAGCAGTGATGTGATGGTGGTCAAATAGCACGTTGAAGTCGCTAGTTCGTCGTCTTGTGTTGTGGTTTGGTCATAACGTCGATTCACAAATACAATGACTTGTTCAGTAGCTTCAATGTGGAGTTGTCAGGTCATCCTGCAGTAGTGTAGGTGCTTCCTTTGGCCTCTATTCAGGTTGTGATGTGCTCTTAAGACTATCAAGCATCAGCGGCGACGATCTTCAGTAGTTTTTCGTACAGTAAACGCACCTCCATCTGCTGTTGCCATTAGTTTTCTGAATATAGGCTTGCTAAATGGCCTCTAGTAGGGCCGATGTATTGGCGACACTGTGGCGATATGTAGCCGGTCATCGGAGCATCCAATGCTCTCTTACGAGGTGGTCTGCGACGTCATGTGGTGTTTCACCTCGCTGTAGATGGCAAAACGTAGAAGTCCTATTTGGCAGCGATGACAGTTGTGACCAACTTCTCCTCAATGGAAGCAAAGTGGATGATAATCATGGGTGTGCCTTGGAGCATTGCACCGGCCGGCAGGTGGGTGGTATGACGTCGGTGGTGGTGGCCACGTTGTCTCGCGATGCTGCAGCGATGCAGCGCCTTGGCATGGGCGAGGAGGAGCGTGGCAGCCAACTACAGCACAATGGCTCATACCTGGCTCGCAGCGACGACTCTGAAAGCTGAGGAATTCCCAGCGACTGCTGGATCTTCTGGCGTATGACGTCCGCTATGGCATACACTCAAGGCTGTGCTGAAGGTAGAAATTTTCGCAGTTCATCGTGCAAGATCGCTCGGATCGTACCAGACAGATCAGCGGTTCCTAGCACTCTGATGTCGGCATAGCTTGTAGCCGAGAAGCTGCGATTGTATTGCCGTGTCCGCATCTCCAGCGTCTTCTCTATTGTCAAGGCTTGTGGGGGTGCCGACACCCTCTGTTAAGTTGTTTGTGCCGTGCGGCGCATGTGCCTCGCCCAAGAGCCGCATTTCGGGTTACAACAACAGGGTGGTAGGCGGCATTGATTACAACTATCATCATCATGGTTGTGACAGTGGTAGCGTTGGTAGTGACCCCTGGTGGAAGGCAAGCCTTGGTGGCGGGTGAGAGTTGAGCGAGCCTCTTCTGCGCATGGTGGTTGCCGCGAACGGTCGTCTTTCGCGGTGGGTCTGCCGTGGACTGCACCGCGGGCCGCCTACGGTAGGCCCACGTGGTGAGTGATGCGTTGGCGACGACGCCTTTTGTATGCTCTTTTGCAATGTTGTTTGAGTGTTTGGAAATATTGTGTAAAGATGTCCTAGTGTGTTGATTACAATTTAGTATCATTTGGCGGACGATATCGTCATTATAAGTTTGTTAAATAAATGTGTGTATGTTGTTTGCTTTGTATCGACCGTGTCTACTGTGTCCGTTCACTCCAAAAGCGTGGCGTGACGAGGCGCTCGCCTCGTCGAGACCCCACACTGGCTGCCCAACGTGGCGCTCTTGGAGTATCGGACGACAGTTTTTGCGGTTCGGTACAAGCTTTTGTTTGAGCCGGGGAAGAGTAGGCCTAGGGGGACTTAATTCTTTGCTAGCGTCAGTGGTGTGCTTTGTTGAGAGCGAGGAGATCAGTATTTGTGATGTGTTTGAACTTGTCGACAGGTTGAGTTTTTATTTTTCTCCTGCTTGCAAGTGGTTTTTTTTTCATTGTTGGTGTTAGTTTTCAAGAACGTTGTTCAGTTGCGACGAGAGCCATGTAGTCTGCATCCTGGGGTGAGCAAAGCTTAGAGCACGTGGATTGTAGGCCAGGCCTAAAGCGAGTGAGTATGGAAGCCTTGTAGGTAGTCCGATTTTTCGTAAATAGCTTCTATCTCTTTTGGGCTCAGGGAGCCGGGCGACATTGCTGTCTGGTACTGCGGCTCGACGCCATGCGTTGTAACACTGTTTGGGCGATGGACGCGAATCGCTCGGCAAGCTGCTGTGTGCAACGAGCGATAGGGTCACCTTTCAGAGTGGATGTCTCTTTGCGACTGCCTTTTCTATGCCTAGGCTAGGTGCTGGGTGGATGCCGGTTGTTGTCGAGCGACTCATTAGGCATAAAGCTCTGCGCAGCCACCTGTCGCACGTGGCAGAACTAGGTGGATCGTGGCATTGAGGTGTTGCGCTCTTCCTCCCTCACCTCTTTTTTATCTTGCGATGCACGAGTTAGGAAAAGTGATTTTTGTTTTATTTTGATGGGCGTCTCGGCCGTCGCGGATGTCTTAGCTAGAAGTACTGACCATCGTACCACGTGGCCGAAAAGCCTGAAGCTCCCTTCCCTAGGACCTGCTCTATTGTTTTCTTTCCAGTTTTTTTTTTTTTGTTGATGTATTCAGTGGAAGGGATGTCATCCACGGCCGGCTGTCTTCGGCACATCGCCAGCATCGCTGGCCAGGAATGCGGTCATGAGGTCGGGCAATGGAGATGCCTGGGACCTGCGCAACTGCCTGCAGTCCAGCGCCCTCTTGAGTGCTGGTCGCAACTGGAAGACGTGTCGGCGCTAGCGATGGTTCGTCGCGCAGACGGCATTGTTGCTGTTGCAGGGCCGGTACAAAGATGACGTCGAGCCGGACAGTGCAGCAGTGTCGACCAGCGGCGGTGTCGTGGTGCAAGGACATCATGAACCTGCGATGTCATTTTTTTTTGTTAAAGCTTGTGTAGCTAATTTTTGTTTTAGGAATATGGTTTCATTTAAAGTTGGGGGAATGTGGGGGTGCTGACACCCCCTGTTAAGTTGTTTGCACCGTGTGGCGCATGTGCCTTGCCCAAACGCATTTCGGGTTACAACAACCGGGTGGTAGGTGGCGTTGATTACAACTATCATCATCATGGTTGTGACAGTGGTAGCGCCAGTAGTGACCCCTGGCGGAAGGCAAGCCTTGGTGGCGGGTGAGAGTTGAGCGAGCCTCTTCTGCGCGTGGTGGTTGCCGCGAACGGTCGTCTTTCGCGGTGGGTCTGCCGTGGACGGCACCGCGGGCCGCCTGTGGTAGGCTCACGAGGTCAGTGATGCGTTGGCGACGACGCCTTTTGTGTGCTCTTGTGTTATGTTGTTTGAGTGTTCGGAAATATTGTGTAAGAATGTACTAGTGTGTTAATTAGAATTTAAGTATCATTCGGCGGACGATATCGTCGTTATAAATTAGTTAAATAAATGTGTGTACGTTGTCTGCTTTGT